GTAGGTAGTAGTAGTAGTAGTAGTAGTAGTAGTAGTAGTAGTAGTAGTAGTAGTAGTAGTATCGAGGTTGTAAAACAGGAAGTAGTAGTAGTAGGTTCGTGTAGTGGTAGTAGTTTGTAGTAGTGTAGTAGTAGTATAGTAGTAGTAATAGTAGTATAGTAGGTAGTAGTTAGTAGTAGTATCGACAAAACAGGAAGTACTAATAGTAGTAGTAACGACGAATCAGACGAAATAAAAAAAACGATATATTTTTCCCGTTTGATTTATTCCGAATCAATCATCTGTCTGTTTTATTTTAGTTGGTTTATCCGATTCAGCTTCTGTTTACTCTTTCCGGTTTCTCTTCTTGTTCCTTTCGTGGTCTGGCTTTATCAAATTTACTGCTGCTTACATTTTTTGTCTTCTCTTCTGCTACAGTTTTTAATGGTTCTTTTACTTCTACTTCTCCTTTTCTTTCTTCTTTGCGTTTGGCTTCTTCTCCTTCTTCTTTTTTTTCTTCTTCTTCTTCTTCCTCCTCTTCGATTTCTTCCTCTTGTTGTTGTTGTTGTTTTTCTTCTTCTTCGACTTCTTCCTCTTCTTCTCTTTCATATCTTTATATTCTTCTTCTTCTCTTCCTCCTTTTCTCTTCTTCTTCTTCTTTTCATATTTCTTCTCCTTTTCCCTTTTCTACTTCATCATCTTATCCTCCTCCTCCTCCTCCTTCTACTACTACTTCTTCTGTTCATCCTCTTATTCTTATTTTCTTGTGTTTCCGTTTTCTTTTTTCATCTTTCAATTCCCTGTTCGCTTCGGCAATGGCTTCTGGTACTTTTATGGTCAGAGTTTAGGTCAGCGATGGACAGACACATGCACATATATACGAACAAAAAAAAGGGAGAGAGAGAGAGAGGGGGGGGGTGAAGAGAGAGAGAGAGAGAGAGAGAAGAGAGAGAGAGGAGAGAGAGAGAGAGAGAGAGAGAGAGAGAGAGAGAGAGAGAGAGAAGAGAGAGAAGAGAGAGAGAGAGAGAGAGAGAGGGAGAGGGAGGGAAGGGGAGAGAGAGGGAGTAGTAGAGTGGAGAGAAGAGAGAGAGAGAGAGGACGAGAGAGATGAACGAGATGCACGCACCGTATCTAGGTATGCAACATAATCCCTGCATACAGCCAGTCAATCATATGTCCTGATCCAAGACTCCTACGATGAGACACTTCTACTATAGTCGATGTCGCGCTCCACAGCAAGATGTACATCGAAATCACAGACATGGAAGTATCCTTCCACCAGTGTGAGGAAAACTGAGAGGTGAGAGAAAAAAGAGAAAGAGAGGGAGAAGAGAGAAGATGAGAAGAATAGTAGGAGAGTGAAATACTAGGTTTATATGATAGTTATGGTAAATAATTATATATAGTAAAAGGAATGATAGTGAATTAATATATATAAGTATAATATATAAAGATATACGGAAAACTAGAGATAGAAAATATAGAGTAGAATATATATTATTAGAATATAATATATATATAGATAATAGAGACGTAGATAACTGATAAAGGTTAGGTATAGCATATCAGTAATGTGGGTTGTATATAGTTTGATATATTTGTGTAGTATAGACGAGGAGAGATTAGAAAATGATATAGAGACATATATAGTAGAGGGTAGTATACAGGTATGAGAGATAAGATGAAGAGAGATAGGTAGAGAGAGAGACTCAGAAGAGAAGAAGATAGGTGAATAGAGACAAAAGTGATTAAAAAATTGGTATAGATATACATAAGAGAGCTATAGTGAGTGGTAGCAGTACTGTGAGCTAGCCGACAAAGAACGAGAGAGAGAGAGAGAGAGAGGATATACTCTGAAGACGAAGAGAGAAGAATGAAGAGAGAGATTAGATAGTGATACCGGAGAGAGAGTGAGAGAATGAAATAAATTATGTACCATTATAGAGAGATAAGAGATAGATAGATAGAGAGTAAAGAAGTAGGGAGAGTGGAAAAGTAGAAGAGAAGAAAAAGCTCACATTAATAAGAGTGAAGAATAGACCGAGGTGATGAATGTAGGGGGAAGCAAGTATAGCGACAAAGGTGAAGGTGTTGTTGTTAAATGGTTGGATAGGCCAGTAATTGGTAGTATAGGTTGAGTAGTAAGTAGGTGAGAAGAACTGGGTATATTAATAGTATATATATATATATAATATAAGCGTACAGTTGATATTTGCGAGTTGAAACGATAGGCATAGAATATATATATAAGAAGATAAGAGATATTGAGGCGGAGGGAAAGGTGAACGATAGGACTATATAGCAAGAGTGTAATGGAGGTAGAATAAAAAGGTCGAAGTAAAAGGTAAATAAAAGATCAGGTGAGTAAGAATCGGGAAAAGAGATAGTAGGAGATGAAAATAATTATGATATATGAAGAGATGAGAGGTACCGAGAAAATAGAAACCAGTAATAGAAATGCAAACTCAGTATGATGGAATAAATATGATATGAGGTCGAGGTAGAATTTGAGCAAAAGATA